ATATGAGTTTGTATGTAATGTATGAATATAATATACAAGTTTCACTTTTTAAATGGAATTACTGAAATAAATCTACTTTTTCATGATATTCTAATTTTATGACCAGCACCTGTATACCTTTTTATTTATAAAAACTAAACAGAATTTTTWCAGTTTTGTTGTATAGCTGAAATATTTATCATGTCTAATGTTACAAGTCAGAGTTCCCTGTAAAGAGATCACCTGCAGCCTTTCATCACTGTTTTAGTTAAACCCTGTACGATGCACAGTCTCCTGCGACGCAGCAATATGTGATGTGCACTTACGCAGCGAGGACCACTTTAAGCTGCTCCACTGAGTGTCAAATACAGGCAGCAGCTTCTACATGCAGTGTGGACAGTCAGACAAAAGTCCTGTTTGCACTTGCTTTGCACATGTGCGCAAAACCGAGTGCACTGGTTCAAGCATGAAAACTAAACACCGAAACAAAAAGTGAAAAGACGAACACAGATCGATCTAATCTGTTGACTTTTTGAAACAAAGACTTTTGTTTGCTTAGACAGATATTCTTGTTTTTAGCCTCTTTTACACTTCCCCCTCCCAGGGTCAGACGACACGCTGAGATTGGACTGACAATAATAAACACTAAGCTTTACCAAGACTATAAATTTACACTTTTGCATACTTTGAATTATGTGCGTTTGTGCTAAATCAGCTACAACTAGAAAATGTTGCATTTTCCGCAGGAACGCAGCGTGAAAGCTGAATGATTTTACAAGAATTTCTTTAAGAAGCTGAAACTRAATTGTTGAAGATAAAACAATCGGAACAAAAACTACAACTTGCAGAACGGTAGATAAAAATCCGGAGATGAAAAACTGAAGCTAAAATTAGCTAAACAAAGGCTAAAATTTAGCAARACAGAGTGGAAGCCAAAATGAGAAAAACAGGTTAAATCTTAAACTAAACAACCAGTAGCTAAAATTAAATTACCAAAACAGTTCTTGAAAGCTGCAACACACCTGACTTGAATGAGTCGGTTATTATCAGGCCTCTGCAGAACTTGAAGAGGTAACTCAATGACTGAATCAGGTGTTTTGGAGCAGGGAAAAGGGTAAAACATGCAGGGCTGCAGCCCACAAGGACCAGGATTGCCCCCTGCAGTAGTTCAACAAGCTTAAAAACCACATTCAGGCTCACAGAACTCAAAGGTAAACAGAACCAAAATATAAGATTTCATCTAAACACCGACTTTCCTGACAATCTGATTTGGCGGATGCAAAATACATTCTTTTAAATCCCCAATTTACCAAAAATTTTTTTATCAAGTTTTACTATTTTGTTTGCATGATGGTTAGATCATACAATTTTAGTTATTAATTCAAAAATGTATTAATAATAAATATAAGTCGCCTACTACTTCTGAACATTTCATCCAATTATCTCAAGAAATAAAGTTCATTTGTTTGTTGAAGAATCATCAGATTTTCTGTGTTTACAAAGTTAAACCAGAAGAAAAAATTAGAGTAATTTTTCCAAGACTAAAATTACCAGAACTTCTTTATTCCATCACCAATCTGGACAATCTTGGTTTCGATGTCTTATTTGTTTCAAGCTCTATCCACTTACTGTATGTCTCTCTCCTACTTATGAGAAGTTGAAAGATCAAATCAACACATGGAAAAGTTAAAAGTACACAATTTCATTTATGAAAGAGTTATCCCACATAACAATAATCGGTTCTAACATTATCCCTTAATAAATTAAACACAAAAAGACTTTGTGAAACTTGTTTCAAGCACTGAGCCGTGAAGAGGCTGATATTGTGCATCATAACTGGGTGTGGTTACAGGTGGAACATGTTTGCTTCAATCATTTATCAACATGAGATTCTTTTAGTTTAAAACTGGCATGAAAGGCTAAAATATATTTAGGGGAATGTTATTAGTTTGCTGACATAATGTACACTTATAAGCACGAGGCCTTCAAAATAAATGTCACTAAATGAGTCATAAACATGAATGCTGGTTCTCGGGGTTTCCCCACAGTTTTGGAATAAGTTGTGTCTAAAATAGAAACATTTCTTCCTACAACTTCACTCTTTTCCACTCTAAGAACAGCGCTTCTCATGATACATTTAATTACAGCCGTGGTAAAGCTTACTGGATCATGTGATGCGTTCAAGTTCTGCATTATCTCAAAGTTTTCCCTCGAGTTCGCTAGTTAATTAAAAGCTAAAATGTATGTTTAAGCTGTTATAAGTCACATATTATATAAAAAATCTTGTCTCGGTGTAAAAGGCTGAAAATGGTGTCGCCACCACCCATCCTCTGGTTTCCAGCGACGCCACAAAAACTACATCTACGTCGACAAAACTACGTGAAAAAAATGTTACGTTACTAATGTTTGTAATCGTACGTCGAATTGTTAAGAGCTGTCATCTGTCAACTTACGTTAAATATATACTTACCCAAGTTTTAACGCACGGCTCGGTTTAAACGCGCCGACTCCCAGCGGGACAAACTGCTCATTCAGATGAGCAAAATGTAGGTGATGTCCTCTTTAGTCCCTCCCATTGACTGAACAAGCAAGACAATGAAGAGAAAGAAAAGAGAAAAAAACAATCATTCAGAACTAGCTACAAACTTTGAACATTCGGACAGCTGTGAACACCACAATAAAATATTTTTATTATATAACAGAAAGGCTTGACATCCTGCAATAGTACTAAGAAGAACACAGGGCAAGCCCACACATACCAAACACAAGAACAGGAATGTTGTTAACATGTTCTATTGAATCGACGTGATGACGTCGCTGCAGCCAGGATGCAGTCAATATTCATCAATGGATGCAGCTGTGATAGTTACTTCCGGTAGATATTTTCCAAAATAAAACCAATAAATAACGTACCTTCTTTACGTAAACATATAACTTATGTTTGTTTTTACAAATACAGTATATATA